GTTGATGATCGTCAGTGAACACTGGAGTGACAGAGCAGTGCGCGTACGAGGCTGCGCTGTTTGCTTGAGGATGTGTGTGTGTGTGTGTGCGAGCAGAGTCTCTCTTTGTGCGAGTGAAAGGTGTAAAAATCGAGGTCACGCATCTTGATAATGAGGATGATGAGGCCTCGACGCCCCATCATGTGTCAGTTGTTTTGAAAGATTTAGGTAAAGTCTGTTGAAAACATGCATAAGATACGTCTTGGTAGAAAATTAGGCCCTCTCCAAGTTTTATGCTTGAAGAAAGGGTATCTTGCGGAAGTACCGGCTGTTACATCTTAATTGACGGTTTCCAAACTGCATATTTTGCCTACAGATACTACCATATTTCTCTACGCTATGAGTAAGAGGTCACATATTTATCATAAAATGTTGCAATGAATATGGATAAAGTTGGATACTTTGTAGGCAATACTAATAAATTGACGGATACGATGTATTATAAATTACTAGTCACAGTCTTAAGAAGGCTCATAGTAAGAAACCTTGTTAAAGGGAAAGATATTCCTTCTTCAAGTGTAAAATTTGGATAAGGCCTAATTTTCTACCAAAGGAGCACAAAAAATCATGTTGTATACATGTTTGCAATCATATGTATTCCACTTTACTTTACAATCCTACTTAAATAATTCGTTCGAGTCGAAAACTCATTTCAGAATTTCGGCTGGCAGTTCATGCGATAGGTAAGCTGTTGTATGTGTTGAAAATCCAGTAAAATCGTTTCAGGCTCTAGGACAGCTCTTTTGCATAAATATCTGTTGAAGGAACCACAAAGGCTAATTTTCACTGGCTTACCTAATAGCATACACAGCGTTCTCCCTCATGAGTCAAGAGCAGTCTAAGGAATGCAGCGCGTAGCCAGCATACAATGCAAGTGAAGTATGTGGACTAACGAGTTCGTGCACAATTTTTATGTTAGCACCAAATTGTCGTTACTTTTGTCACCTAGGGAAAATTTTATTTATTTTATTCGGGGTTGAAAGTCTCTCATGACCACTCAGCTGTTGATACTGCCTAAACAGGTTGCATCTGACTTCAGTCCAACCAATGTGTATGCGAGTGATAATGAATAAACCCTGTGTTCTGCTTCGTCGTACTCAACATTCGATTAGAACAAAGTGCTGATGTGAAGAAAATTGACCCCTAAAATTAAGCTGACGTCCCTAAAACCGGCTTGGCTGGCTTAGACAGCAGCATACGTCAGCTTATAAGCAAGATTAGTTTATTAGATTCAATTCAGTATATGCACGGCTTGTTTTACGTTTTTGACGGAAAGGTTCACATATGTAAGTCTGATTTTTACACCCAATATAACATTTTTACTGACAGATGCTCAGTAACGCTGAAGGCAGATTATATAGATCATTTTTTATGCAAGGGCTAATTATGGAGTTCACCCGGCGGTTTGAGGCAGGTCACCCTTACACCTTAATTACGATTTGTAAGTAGCCGTAACGCATTCTTTGATTGTAACGTTTACTATTCAGCTCGACTGAATGATTATCTACTGTCTCCTATTTCCAGTGGATTTTAACGATTACAGGGGACATTGCAGACAAGAATGAGACCGGCTAACGACTATTTGTTAAGATAGTTTCAACAGAGTTTTGCTTAACTGCACACCCCACCATCTGAATTCTCCGTCAGGCTTACTGTGTGATTACAGCTGCAGGAGGGTCCTTTCTGAATGAGTCGTTCTGAAGGTGGACTGATGTGACGGTTTGCAAGATTTCCTTTAAGTCTCGTCTATTTAGTTATAGTCGATTCTTTTGCGGTAGCAGAACACAGAAATTGAGCCGTAGCTCTTGATCACAGTGTTCTCTTGACAAATCTTGGCAGTTACTTGTGACATCTGGTATACCCGTCTACCCTAAAAATTCAGGACATAAACACGGGACCCTGAAAAAGAAAATGTATAACATTTATTGAATATAAGATGACGTCTAACTCGCCGGAAGTTGTTTTAGCCCTCCTAACATCGCGCTCGACAGTGCAGTCGTGACGGACAAAAGAGGTCTTTTGAAAAATCCCTACCAAACAATTCGAATGGTTTTACATAATACGAAACGCATATCAAATGCGCAAAAATGCAGTCAGAACGCGTTTCGGGGACACATTTGATGGTTTACTGATGACTAAAATCGTAATTCCTGGATATGCTTGAATTCAACGAAATATATGCTGGCTTATAGTGGAAAGTAAATAATTTATGAGAAGAAATACTCACTATCTTTAGAAGCAGTTATAATAATAATAGATTATGGGGATCCTCTTTCGAATCAACAGGTTAACGTTAATGATTATAGGAACGGGCAATTTGCCAAGCGCCTCTTTTGGAAACCTTTTTTAGTGTTTATTTTACGACTTTATACAATCTTAGGCGCAACACTTCCAGTTGATTTTCATTTAGATGCCTTTATCGAAATTACTCGCAATGTCCTTTATTTGTAACCATGGCCGGCTACTCAAAGCTTCTTTTTTAATTCAGAACGGCATGAACAAAATGCGAAGAAAAAAGTGTATTTTCTAAATAACTAATCATCGGCTATTAACCGCCTCTAACTTATCGGCCGATCGTGAGCCCATTTCCTCACTTCGACAAATGTGCTATACTAGGGCACCAAAAGTGAATGAGCTTTAAATATCAACTATTCCAGTAGGGCTTTTTGTTGAAGATACCTTTCGACAAGCCTCGACAAATGTACTATAAAGCTTACAGTCCCTCCACTTTTTAGCTGGTCTAGCTATTCAATTCAACCTGGCCTCCCTCTCTCGCGCATCTCGTGTTACACTTCGCGAAATCCACAATCAATTGTCCATGATTCATTGCGTCATGTTTCACTTCAATCTTTATACTGATCTTTCTCACGCTCCTGAACAGTACGCAATAGAACATCCAGGGTTCGACAACTACTCACTCGTAATTAAGGTTGAGAAGCCCGAAATCCAGTTCATGACAGAAAAACCAGTCTCGTCACATTAGACAACTGGTGGTAGATTAGCATTTCTCTGATTACCTTCTCCATGTGCTTCTGCAGAATCAGATCACGGGTCGGAGATCATTGCGGTTGCCACCTCGGCCCACCCTTGGCAAGATGCCAGCTCAGACCATTATACGTAGTGATGAAGTTCACCAAGAGCCACAAGCCGGTGCTATTGCCTCCGAGCTCTCCAGCCTTTCAAGACGGGCACAGCAGGCTGTGCAAAACTTCCATCAAATTCTCGCCACACGGCAGCTCGTTCGACTGCCGAGGCCGAACACTGCTCCTGCTGCTGACTCTCTATCTGGCCAGATGGACGATGAGCACGGTGAGTCATCGGCCGCCCAACTCATGCGACAGACGAGTCGTCTTCTGCAGGCCAAGAATCAGATGGAACGAGTAAGTCTGTTATCTGGCCTCTACTCACTGGCTTAGTCGAATTAAATGGGCCAAAGAGTACTAGCCATTCTACTTGTGATTTGGAGATCCATGTCTTAATTTTTTTACTGAAGACAATGACATTTTTGATAAAATCATTGCTACGACCATTTTCATTTCCAGCCCATATCTATATAATATATGTAAGTCCTTTTAGTCAGCGAAATCGTATTCCCTCTACCATTAGAATCCGCAGTTTCTTCGGGGGGAATGTTGGGATTATTTCCATTTTGTGAGTCTTGCATAGACCATGGCGATGGCAGTCTGGGAAATAACATATCATGGTGTCACAAAAGTTTCTTTATATAAGAGATGCCTTCAGAAAATTTTTGTCAATGCCCTATCCGTGATATAAATCCCGCCTACTTTGAAAAAAGCGTGAATAAATGAAATTCAAATCTTATAATTCAGGGAAAGGTTTCGTTCTTATGTTGAACAACAGTTCCCCGTCGATTTCGACGATTGGCCCCACGCGCTCCAACAAGCCGCAGCAAACGCTGAAGCAAGCCGCAACAGACAC